CGCCAAGTCACCAGTTAACGGCTGATTTAACAGCAATGTTAACGGATGTATGAAAGTGTCCCAAAATTATGACTTCATGTATGATTCTTGAATGAAAAAAATTTAATGTACCAAATGTTGAAAACCAAGAAATTTCAGAATAGTAAACTGAGATTAATCTTAATTGATAAACAAATGAGCAAGATTATTCATTCATTCATGAGTTTGGCTTTATATTATCAAGATAATATACTGTAAATGAGTCCGTAGGATTTAAGGTATGAAACCCAACAGAGCCATGGTGGAAATTTGGCATGGCGCAAGAGTAAACAGAAGTTTGCAAGTCGAGGCAAAATTGGCATGTAAACTAGGATAGAGGCATTTAATGCAAGATAGTGGGCAATTTGGAGAATATTTGCTTCTTTAAAACCTTATGGCCAAGGGTTCTATAAGCAAGGTGGCAATGTTTGGGCTTGAAATAACGATTTCGGTTAAGAGTGGGCTAACCCGAGTGGAAAATGCCATAGTTCTTGAGCAGCAAAGATGTTTAGGCTAGTGGGCTTCCGACCCAAGAAAGGGTTGATTCGACCAAGTCCTCATGAATGTAGGACCGTGAGAGGATTAAGTACAGATGTGGCTCAGTTGAGTCCTAGGCAAATTTAATTCGCCAAGGATAAGAATAAGCCTTGATTAAATGTAGATTACCCAAAGGATATGAATTCATTATTAATCAATTAAGAATGAATTAATCGTATAATGGGATCAAGTTTAGAATCCTAGTTAGAGTCAAAGAGATCAAGACTGAATGGAGATGAAGTCTTGGCTGAGAAAGGAATTAAAGAGATAAAGGAATTATTCAAGTAAATGACGAGCAAACATAGTCACATCAGGACTCTTCCTCGGCATGCTTATTTATCATGAAAGCCATACTTATAAATATAAGAGGCTTTGTAACATTGAAGGCCCCTTGCAACTCAACAAAACTCAAACACTCTATGCAAGAACCCTCGTTCCATGTGAAGCTATTCTCACAGCCTGAGAAAAACAATAATTATCCTAACCCTCCTGTCAACACATCTTCGGTTTGGATAAGTAAGCAGCACTGAAGCTGTAGAACTAGACGATTCAACATCACCTTTAGTTTGGATAAGTAAACAATACTGTTTCTGGTCGGTTGGTTATCTATTCAAGTCTCCGCAGGCGAAGAGTTTCTAATTCTTTCACCTAAGAAGGTCATCTTATTAGATTCTTGGCAAAGTGAGGTGTTACCGAAATACCTTGTGTTTGGCACATTGTAAGTTGAAGAGGTTAATGAACTTCGCAATGATCTAGTAACTTTATCTTCAAGTTTACAATCCAAGGCCAAGACGTGGTCCTTCGTCGATTGTAATTGCTCAAGTGCAGAAGTCAGCAACGCATTCGACATCACCACCACAACAACTATTCTACTCGCCCGATCGAGTTCGGTTGTGATTTGGCACGCCCGTATTTACAAGAAGGACATAATTAGCTCATGGTTACTCAATCTGTGTGTCATATAAGCGTTGTAATTTTCAAAATCAACAGGTTGATATATATAAAATTCTAAGACCACAAAAAATGAAGAAAGAATCACATTCATATTCATTGTTCCCCTTGCAAGTACAAATTCAAAACAGTGGATATGGATAGTTACGACATGCTGCAGACGCAATTCCATGTTGGAATATTCCAGATGTTTCTTCTTACCGAAAGAAACAAGACCAAAGGAAGCAATAACAGAGTGCAAGAAAAAAAAAAAAAGGGGAAAGAAAAATAAACTATATATATATTTAAGTAAATATTATATATATATATATATATAATAAACTAATTTATTTTTCCAACTTTTTAAGTAAATATTTGATATATATATATATATATATGTTTGTGTGATCATTTTATTGCTTTAGCGATTTACTTGTCAATAATTGTATGAATATTGATTGATTGGGAATAAGTTCTTTTTGATATTGATGACAATAATGGCCACTTAACTAGTTGAAGATACAAATGGATAGCATGCATTGCATGCCACGCAATTCTCATATTAATACAAGCAATTGTGACTTGCGAGGTTAAAAATAAAGTGTCCTAAGAGAGGGAATTGGTTCCCCCACGTTATGTAATCTTTCTTGGAAGAAAAGGGAGAGAAAAATATATTAAATTACTAAGTAGTCATCATTTTTATATTCTGTTACGAAATTCTAATGACCTTGATAGATATGATAATCCTGCTTTCTAGATGCTAAATTCTTATGTTCTATTACGAAATTCTAAAGTTTATAATAAGTGCATGATTTCTCTAGGAATTAATCCCTCCTAAATCCTTTCTTACATACCTAGGCTAAAATATTCTTAACATATCCAAGCTTAAAATAGTAATTAATTCCAGGAAAAATTAGTATCGAGTCCTTAGTTATTAATGTTCTTTGATTGAAACCTTATTAATTTTCAAATTTTGATTAAGGTCCCTAGCATTAATGCAATAATGAATTTACATGTTAGTTACATAATTATTAAAATAAAAATTAAAAATTGATTTAGGATTTTAATACTCACACCTTTATTAAACTCCTAAATAATTTTCAATTCAAAATATTTCCAAAATAAATAAATAAATTAGAATAAGTTTGTACCCCTTAATTTTTTTATAAAAAAGGTTTCCAATTTTTTAATCTTATATGTACCCAAGTTTTCAATTTTTTAATCTTAAAATGTACCCATTCTTAAATATATCAATTTGTTGTAGTAAAATGTACCCTTTTTTTTATATAAAATCTATTCAATTTTTTTCTAATCCATTTTTAAATTTATATGGGTACATTCTTTTTCTTGATTTGAGAATGTATCCATGTCAAGTTTAATCAAAGAAATTTACTAATGTTATTAAGCCTAATATCTCTTATTTTTTTGTGTGGTTTTGAAGAATGTACCCATATTTTGGTACAATAATTTTTTTGTTAATTTTGATGAATGTACCCATGTTTATATACATACATACATACTTATATATATGTATATATACACACACACACAATATATTGGAGAGTATAATTTACATTTTAATAATTTTAATCCACAAATTATGGATTTAAAATCTCATTAATACAAACAACTATAAATTTCAATTTTTAATTTAAAAAATATAGTAACCTACATAGAAATACATTATCACATTAATTTTAGGGACTTCAATCAAAAATTGAAAACCAACAAGGTTTCAATCAAAGAATATTGATAGTTAGGGACCGCATCCAAAGTCTCCCTTAATTCCATAACCGTCGAAAATTAAACTCCCCCACTATTGAACTTTGGTTAGCTAGAAAATAAAAATTTGGCCACTTAATATTATGGTTTAAGATATTTTTCTGAATAATGAGTTCGATACCAATTCATTCCATCACCCCTTAATTTAATATATTGTCAAATTTTTATTTCAGAAAAAGAAAGTGATACTGGGTGTATGACATCCCACATCGGCCAGGGGAGTGATCCTTATATGTATATTCTCATCCCTACCTAGTACGAGGCCTCTTGGGAGCTCACTGGCTTCGGGTTCTGTAGGAACTCCGAAGTTAAGCGAGAAGGGGGCTAGAGCAATCCCATGATGGGTGACCCACTGGGAAGTTGCTCGTGAGTTCCCAAAAATAAAACCGTGAGGGAATGGTAAGCCCAAAGCGGACAATATCGTGCTATGGTGGTGGAGTGGGGCCGGGAAGTGATCCACCCCAGGCCGTGATGTGATATTTGGTATCAGAGCCTAACCCTGGTCGTGGTGTGCCGACGAGGACGTCAGGCCCTTAAGGGGGGTCGATTGTGACATCCCACATCGCCCAGGGGAGTGATCCTTATATGTATATTACCATCCCTACCTAGCATGAGGCCTTTTGGGAGCTCACTGGTTTCGGGTTCCGTAGGAACTCCGAAGTTAAGCGAGAAGGGGGCTAGAGCAATCCCATAATAGGTGACCCACTGGGAAGTTGCTCATGAGTTCCCAAAAACAAAATCCTGAGGGAATGGTAAGCCCAAAGCGGACAATATTGTGCTACAGTGGTGGAGTGGGCCCGGGAAGTGATCCGTCCCGGGCCGGGATGTGACAGGGTGAGGAGGGTTCGAGTAATGAACCTACAATACAAAAGTGAAGACTCATTCAAACCACTTGAGCTACATTCCCATTACATAAATTTGAGAACTTAAAACTCGTAGATGAGTTAATAAAAAGTAGGAATTCATATTCCCATTCTTGCAAGCAATATCCAAATTTTAATTATCAATTCTTGCATATGGAATTATTTATCCAAAAATTTTGTAAAGTGTTTTTCCTTTACATTATGTTTGGGTAAAGAAATTTAAGATTACTAAAGAATTTAAAAATGACGGAAATTGAAATGACGAGATTTTATTTTCTAGAATTTGTAAATTTTCTTGTTTGGTTAACCTAAAAGAACAATGGAATTGAATACAGAATTTGTTATTTTTAAACTCTCAATCATTGAAATTGAGAAATGACACCTATTTACATGGAATTTGAACTTGGGATTTGGAGGTCCCAAATTCCAAGTTTTTTTTCCATGCGAAAATTCTAAATTTCTATGTTTATGAATCCAAACAAGAGAATTGGTGCATGTTAATTTATAAATTCTGACTTTTACCAAAATTTCATGTTCATTTCCCTCATCCAAACATAGTGTTAATTTTCCACTTTTCTCTTTTAGGCACATCCATTATTTTCATTTTGGCGAACGCGCGTAATTGACAAGAGGGTGACAAAAAGATATAATATAAAGTGAAAATTCGTATATATTCTCATTTGACAAGAGCTATTTACTTGCTCTCTATGTCTACCGTTTCTCCTCTTGACTCGGTGATTCTCGTAAAACCACCATCATCCCACCATCCCAAAGCATATAATTCTCTCCAATAGCTTCAACCACAAGCTAACACGAGTCTTAATTTACACATAATTAATCACTTAAATACCCTCCCTTTATATATTGCCCCGAAGTGTTATGTTTTTTACTACTAGAAGCCACAAAATTAAGCTTAGCTCAATCGTAATCCAAAGCCATGAAATACAATGAGATATCTCACTTCAGCCACCCCCAACACAAGCTCAAGTTTGAGTACTCAGAAATCCCGTTCAAGTGTGATGGTTGCAAGGAGGTCGGCATAGGCTCGCGCTACAAGTGCGCGACGTGTGACTTCGACCTCCATATGCACTGTGCCATACCTACCCCTTCCATCTTCCACCCTTTCTATACCAAGTGCTCCTTCCAGTTCCTCTCGAGGTCACCCGGAGACAACCCTCGCTTTTGCAATGCGTGTGAGAAGGATATAACCGGGTTCGTGTACCATTGCAAGTCATGTGGGTTCGACCTTCACCCATGTTGCGCAAAGCTCCCCATGGTGCTGGACGACGGGGAGGTCAAGCTCTATCTGTATAGAAAAGTGAGTAGCTCTTGCCATAGGTGCGGGCGTAAAGGACGGAGTTGGAGCTATAGGTCAAAATGTAAGAAATATAATTTGCATGTGGCGTGTGTGAAGGAAATGCTTGTGGAAACTTGGCATGAGTTTTTAGGGTCGCATGGGAATAAAGGTACTAGCAGTAGAAAATTGGAGATGACTAGAATTCCTAGCCTTAAGAATACACTTCAGAATCATCACCGTAGGAGCAAAGGTAAGGTGAAGAAGTGTTGTGAGATAGCTGGATTGGCTGTGCAATTTGTGATATCAGCAGTATTAGGCGATCCAACGACTCTGATTGCTGGGGTTATTGGGAATTTCATGTCACGAGCTTGATGTGTGGTTGATGATGGGGTATTTGGCTTCTGGTGTTATATGATGGTTGCAACCGTTGTAGTGTCAATAAATTAATTACCTAACAGCCAAGGGCGAAATCTGTAAATAGCCCTACTTTGTATTTTATTTTAATAAAACTTGTAATTTACAGATGATGAGGTGCTTGATCTAAAGGTATTCTTTCATTGATAAAAAGTGATAACATTACAATTGTATTTGTACCAAGCTTCTAACATACACTTGTGCTGGCCCATATTCTAACACTAACTAACAAACTACTACAAATTATCTCAACACAAAATGTAACTAAGTTTTATCTTTTACAACTGAATGTGCCTTATTATCCTCCTTCAAACTAAAATGAGGGATTCGAAGATAAAGTTTGTCTCTTAATAGAAAAAATCTTGGCTTAGGAAGAAACTTGGTACAGATGTCAGCAAGCTAATCTTGTGAACACACAAATTGCACTAAAAGAGCATTGGCAAGAATCTTTTCTCTTATATAATGGTAGTCAGTTTCCACGTGTTTGGTGCAAGCATGAAAATGGGGTTCTTGGCTAATGATATTATTGATATATTGCCACACCAAAGGATTGGTGAACAAGGTGAACAAGGCAGAACCAAACCTACATCAGTCAAAAGCCTGCAAATCCAAGTCATTTTTGCAGCTATTGTTGCAAGAGATATGTGTTCTTCTTATGTTGATGAACGTGCCATTACTGGTTGCTTCTTAGCACTACAACTAATAATGGAGTTGCCCAGAAAAATGCAAAATCCACTTGTGATCTTCTATCCAGTGAGCAACCTGCCCAATCTACATCTCAGAATGTTGTAATACTGAGAGGTTTGGATAATTTAGAGAACCAGAGATCAAGATCCAAGGAGCCCATTGATAGGAGCATATTTAGGCGACTTACTTAGCTTGTTTTCGTGCATCTATGTTGTTAATTCATAGTTGTTTTAGTAGTTTAAGCCATTTTCGTGTGTTTTTAGGTTCATATGGCTAAGGAAGCAAAAAGATGCATTTTGGAGCATTTTGGAGCAAAATTGGGCTTGGAATGGATAGCATATGATTGGAGCCAAAGTGTTGGACGAATTTGAAGGCCTTGTATTCATTTTGGACATAAAACAAAGGGCCTAGCCCATTCTCTCTTAAACCAACCCCAAGGCCATGCATTTCCTTCCAATTCCAAAGCCCACAATCACTTCAAAAGCCATGCAAAGAACCATCCATTCCATCAAAAACAATCCATCAATTCACATGCAAAACCACCATTAACACACATGCACCCAAACAAAGCCAACCTAGCTAACCCTACATGCATTCTTTATGCAACTCTTCATCATTCCACCATTCATTCTTTATTCCACAAACAAGTCACATGCATTTCCACCTTCCTACTTCATCATTTCACCACATTCTCCCTCTTTAACTCATTTCATTATTCATTCACTTTGCATTCATTCAATTCCACCCCACATGCACCCTTTATTCTTCATCATTGCAACCATGGCACATTTACACCAACAAAACAACTCCCATGCCATGGCCTACTCATATTCCCATTTCCTTTCCAACATCTCACATGCATTTCCACCTTCCTACTTCATCATTTCACCACATTTTCCCTTTTATTTCCACATGCAATTCTTCATCATTGCAACCACAAACACCTTAAACAAATAGCCATATACATCTCCACTCCTCCTATAAATACCCTTGCATTAGAATGGATAAGTGAGGGATCGTTCTGGACCGGGGATTAGGAGGGATTGTTAATCTCTTGGAAACTGACTCAAAAACGTAAAAACAAGATAAAACACTAAACTAGACTCAAAGAATGTGAAACTAAACGTTAAAACACTAAGACAAACCAAAAGACTCAAAATGCTTTAAAAACACAAACTAAATTGATTTCTAACTAAATTGAACAATTAAGTAAAGGGGGATTGGATTTGGACGAATTTAAACTAAAAATGGAAACTTGGAAATAAAACAAATTGTAAATATGGATTTGACGGAAATGAATGGATGGGAAGCTAGCTAAGGGGTTCATCTCCACATATGTTATACTTGCATACAAAACGATGTCTAATTGCTTTTCAATAAACCATGAATTCTCAACGCCCCGGGTTAATTAGGTCCGCTTAAATTAACCGTCAAGTTTTCCTTAAGTTAATGAATTGGATGATTGCATACGACAATCCAAAGCATTCCTCACAAGTTCCCTACATGAATTGCATAATAGAGAATCATTAAGCATCATGAAAACTATAAGTGTTGACGAGGCATTCGTTACTATGATTGCATGAAACTTATGCCAAGAATATGTTTAACACGATTGTTTATAAGCAACCTCCACTACTTGTGAATATAAGTTCATAACTATTACGTGAAACTCACTTATATTCTAGCGTCAAATTCATGCATGAAAATTAAGCGTTCATTCTTAATAAACATACATAAATAGGTTATCAATCAAACAGTTAAACAAATTGAATTCACAACTTATGAAACGTAATTAAAAGTAATCAAATCATATTACAAACATAAACATAGTTTCGAATCACCCCCTAGCTAAAGGGGGTTTATTTCCTCATACGTACAAAACAAAGAGAATTGAAATTAAACATTGAAATCAAAGAAACGCCTAAACATTCCAACAACTCAATCTTGAATTGTATGAACGTTTAGGCCCTCTTATCTTCCTCTTTATTGTAGCATAAGGTCTAGGGATAGTTGGTTGGGGGGATGGAAGTGTTGGGAAATTATGGAAATGGATGAGGAGTGGTGGAAATGGAAGATGGTTTTTTGGATTCTAAGGGAGAGAAACTCACGGCTAGGGAAGTGTTTGTGGTGTGTTGTGTTGTGAATGAGATGAGATGATTTTTGAATGAATGAATGCAAGGGTATTTATAGGAGGAGTGGAGATGTATATGGCTATTTGTTTAAGGTGTTTGTGGTTGCAATGATGAAGAATTGCATGTGGAAATAAAAGGGAAAATGTGGTGAAATGATGAAGTAGGAAGGTGGAAATGCATGTGAGATGTTGGAAAGGAAATGGGAATATGAGTAGGCCATGGCATGGGAGTTGTTTTGTTGGTGTAAATGTGCCATGGTTGCAATGATGAAGAATAAAGGGTGCATGTGGGGTGGAATTGAATGAATGCAAAGTGAATGAATAATGAAATGAGTTAAAGAGGGAGAATGTGGTGAAATGATGAAGTAGGAAGGTGGAAATGCATGTGACTTGTTTGTGGAATAAAGAATGAATGGTGGAATGATGAAGAGTTGCATAAAGAATGCATGTAGGGTTAGCTAGGTTGGCTTTGTTTGGGTGCATGTGTGTTAATGGTGGTTTTGCATGTGAATTGATGGATTGTTTTTGATGGAATGGATGGTTCTTTGCATGGCTTTTGAAGTGATTGTGGGCTTTGGAATTGGAAGGAAATGCATGGCCTTGGGGTTGGTTTAAGAGAGAATGGGCTAGGCCCTTTGTTTTATGTCCAAAATGAATACAAGGCCTTCAAATTCGTCCAACACTTTGGCTCCAATCATATGCTATCCATTCCAAGCCCAATTTTGCTCCAAAATGCTCCAAAATGCATCTTTTTGCTTCCTTAGCCATATGAACCTAAAAACACACGAAAATGGCTTAAACTACTAAAACAACTATGAATTAACAACATAGATGCACGAAAACAAGCTAAGTAAGTCGCCTAAATATGCTCCTATCAAACTCCCCCACACTTATCTTTTGCTAGTCCTCGAGCAAAACAGAATAAAAACAAATAAACAAAACGACACTAAACACGTAAAACACAACCTACACCTTCCAACAATCGTTTCAGGGATTTCCAATGCACATGACAAGTTAAAAATTATTATTCCCACAGAATTTAGCCATCTTTACCCTTAAGTACATTCTTAATCATAGTCACCACATACTAGTTCACAATTAAGCATTTAAAACCATGTTTTGAATGTAGTAACATGCCTTAGAGAATTTGCTCAATTCCTTACAAGATATGCACTCAATTTTCACTCAGATTTTCTAACTACACACCCTAATCTAGTCATATGTGAGAAGATTGATGTAAACATGAAAACGAACACTCACATATATGTATCACAAAGAACGCAATTTTTGGAGTTAATAAGCATGTTTAGATTATGATCTCATGAATGGAATGCTACTACTTAGACGCGAGAACCAGTGACACCATATGCTCATACCAAATTCAAACTCCACAATTGAAATACATAACACTCAAGATTGAAGTCACGGGTTGTAATGGGGCTTGGGGCGTGTGGATAACAAAGAAGGGATATGGAAAACAAAGGTTCTTAAAGAAATAGTGAGCAAGGCAATTGAATCAACTTAGAATTTTCTTTTGAATGAAAACTCAACTTTGGAACAAAAAGGGAGACAATTTAGGGCCAGAATTGGTGTTTTGAGCCCTTACTTCAATCACTCATTCTTTCATTTTTTTCAAGCTCTTTTTTCTTTCTTTCTTTTCTTTTCTGTTTTTCTTTTCTTTTGAAACTCAAAACATACTTAAGAACAAGCATTCCTTCTCCCACACTCATTTTCTTGCATAATGTAACTCAAAAGGAATTCATTTAAGTCATGCTCACTATCTTCTAAGAACAAAGGTGTGGATTGTCCTAAACTAGGCTAGGTGAGGATAATGTGGGTTGACAAAGAATAAAGGCTAAACAAAGCTCAACGGGGGTAAAACTTACAACATATACGAAATATGGGAAGTGAGGCTATTTGGCTATGGTGGCAACTACACAACTTCATCTTGGTATATGTTATGCAAATCAATAACATGCTTTGAATGAAATGGGCATGAGTTCTAGCATTTGGAACTATATGATGAAACGCCTTCTAAGTAGTAACCAAGCAAAGAATAATGAGATCATGCAACGACTTTAGAAAACAAGAAATCACAGATTATACTCTCCAAAGAACGTTATAGGCTCAAGTCTCTCAGGGTTGTAGCGTTTGTTTGAGTTCCTTCCTTCAAGCATGTTACATAACTAATTTTTTTCTTTTATAATTGCATGTGAAGTCATACATTATAACCATAACCAAGCATATACCAAGAGTAAATCAAACTTTTCTCCATGTTTATAACTCTTTTCAACA